CTCAACAAAGTGGTCTTAATCAACTTAGAGCCATTTATAGTTTCTTCTCTTCCTCAGGCTCCACTGTGGATCTTCTAGAGGTGCTAGTAGTTTTCCAGGTACTACCCACAGAACCTGCTCTGTCTTTTTAGCCTGTTTTCCTTTGTTTACATCTGCTTAATCTATCTTTTGTTCCTTGGTTTCGATTGGACACTTGAAATACATCTCCTTGCTCTGCATCCTAAGCAGTCCTATAGCTAGGCCCCAGCCCAGGCCAGTCCCCTAGACCTTCACTAACCTAACCCAACAAAAACACAAGGCTAGGTGGGTTGTAAAGCATACAGGCTTCGTAAGACAGTGAGGCAGGGGCGCCTGGGTGGCTCAGATGGTTGGGCGTCTGCCTTCGGCTCGGGTCATGTTCCTGGGGTCCTGGGATCGAGTCCCGCATCGGGCTCCCTGCTCTTTGGGGGCCTGCTTCTCCCTCTGCCTCTCATGAATGGATAAATAGAATCTTAAAAAAAAAAAAAAAGACAGTAAGGCAAAATGAGCATTTTTTCCTATCTATAGCCATTCCCAGAATTCTTCTGAAATAAAGCACTCTTAAATAAATAAATAAAGCAAGCTGTTATCTAATAGCTACTACCATGGCTGGGATGTTGGTAGAGGGGGTGGTGGTGGTGGTGATGATCCATGCAGGGCAGGAGACCTAAGAAAGTCTGTTGGGGACTCCTGGTTTTTCTCCATAATATAAAGAATACAGAGATGTGAAGGAAAATACCCCTGTTCTTGGCAGGACACAGTTGTGTCTGCAGGTGACACCTGCAACTGCTAATGCAGTCATCTTGTAACCGTGAGGGGAGATATGCTGACATGATGAAAACAGTTGCACAGAGATATGGAAAGGACTTGGGTTTTTGATGATGTTGTCCAGCCAACCTGGTGCCATCTTGCTTTCGGATGGCTTCATATGCGGGAGGACACATTTACTGTTGAAGCCGCCTAAATGGATCCTAGCAGATTCAGACTCATTTGTAACTCATTAGATTCACCAGGCCTGCCTGTACTAGTAACTTCCTTCACCTAATAGTGTAGATTTTTTTTTTTTTTAAAGATTTTATTTATTTATTTGACAGAGAGAGAGAGACAGTGAGAGCAGGAACACAAGCAGGGGGAGTGGGAGAGGGAGAAGCAGGCTTCCCGCCCAGCAGGGAGCCCGACGCAGGACTTGATTCCAGGACCCCGGGATCATGACCTGAACCGAAGGCAGACGCTTAATGACTGAACCACCCAGGTGCCCCTAATAGTGTACTTGTTCTAATCTTGTAAGGGTAAACAACAAAATCCGACTGGGACTTTGTTGAAATAATGTAGAAAGTAGGAATAAACAAATGGTGGGTGAAGGCAGCTTCTACTGCACTTCTTTCTTGTCCTTAACTGTGTATCTAGAATCTACATAACAGAAACCACATGCCAGATAAGCGAGGTGCATCTTTCTTATAGATTTCCCTTGTTGTGTCCCAGAATTAAGGTCAACTGTTAAGTTACCAGTTCATCTTAGAAATTGGTTAGTGTTTACCTACTTAAAGGTAAACTATCCAAATGGGACTTATTTCCTGGACAAACAGGATCTGAAAATTATGATATAACTAGATACGGGTTATAGTAAAGATATAACTTATAACTTCTTCTCTAGTACTCCTGGCCTGTAAAAATAGCAGAGCAAATTTTGTTTTGTAGGAATGAGTTGAAAACATCAGCAAAATTACTACTTTAGCCTTTTATGTATTTTGAGGGTGATTGTTTTATTTCTTCTTTGCCTATACTTCAAGGAACTTGTGTCTTCATCATGTTATAAGTTGTATTATCCCCTTCTTGCACATTACCCAATAACAGAAAAGGAAAACCTTAAAAAAAAGGAAGCAAGCACAGTTTAATTTATAATAAATCCCAAAAGCAACGTTGCTGGTAAGGAACAGATATTTAAGCCCAAAAGATAGTAATACAAACTCCAGTTGCTGTTATGTAGACCTCTGATTTTTTTTTTTTTTTAAGATTTTATTTATTTATTTGACAGAGAGAGACATAGCGAGAGAGGGAACACAAGCAGGGGGAGTTGGAGAGGGAGAAGCAGGCTTCCTTGCGGAGCAGGGAGCCCGATGTGAGGATCGATCCCAGGACCCTGGGATCATGACCTGAGCTGAAGGCAGACACCCAATGACTGAGCCACCCAGGCGCCCCGTGATTTTTTTTTTTAAGCTTTTATTTATTTATTTTACACAGAGAGAGAGAGCACAAGCAGGGGGATTAGGAGAGGGAGAAGCAGGCTCCCTGCTGAGTAGGGATTCCTATGCGGGCTCGATCCCAGAACACTGGGATCATGACCTGAGCCAAAGGCAGATGCTTAACCCACTGAGCCACCCAGGTGCCCCTGAGTTTTCTTTTCTTTTTTTTTAGTTGAAGAGGCAGGTCAGTAACAATACATTAACATATATTTATATATGCCAGAAAATAATCAGAGAAAAGGTATGTGGTATGGTACTCAGAATTTTTTCTATTACAAAAATTTACAAACAAACAAAAAAGTTAAAAGAACAGTATAATCAACACTCATGTGTCTTTCACCAAGGTTCAAATTGTTAATATTTTACTATTTGGGCTTAATCTATATAGGTATGCATTTTTTTTTCTGAATCATTCTAAAGTAAATTGCAGACATCATGATCAGTCATATTATATTTAGCATTGGTTTTCAATATCTGCTTTTTTTTTTAAAGATTTTATTTATTTGAGAGAGAGAATGAGAGAGAGAGCACATGAGACGGGGTAGGGTCAGAGGGAGAAGCAGACTCCCCGCTGAACAGGGAGCCTGATGCGGGACTCGATCCTGGGACTCCAGGATCATGACCTGAGCCGAAGGCAGTCGCTTAACCAACTGAGCCACCCAGGCGCCCCCAGTATCTGCTTTTCAAGTATTTTTTTCATTCATGTTTTATAAAATCCTTAAACAAGATTTAAAAAGGGAATAATTATGTTCATGTTGTTAGAAAGCAAGACTTACAATGTAAGAGAAAAGAGATTTGATGTAAAAGTCAAATGTATTAAACAAAACCCTTGAAATATTAACTCTACATTGTAAGCATTAGTATTCTTGATCTTTTTCCTTAAAAAAATATATATTTACTAGCTCTGAAGGTCAAGTAACAATAGGAAATAATAACACTGTAGCAATAAACACTCCTAGTAACTCTGGTTATGGTCCCTAAACACCACAACCCTACCAAGAGAAACCAAAGCTCCTTAGAGGGACGGTTGATGCCAGGACTGGGGCAAGAAAGCATACAAGAAGGCACCGGGAAATCTCGTTGTCCTTGACAGCAAGCAAATCTTACACAACTAAAGAGACCATGCCAAAAGGACATAGGAGCTAACATTAAGAGGCTCAATAGCCAAAGACAAGACAACTGGAGAATCAAAGAATATGACCGAAACGGAAACCCTGAATACATAAAAACACATAGATACCCGATGAAATAAAAAAGTGCCCTCCCCATCCAAGCCACAAACAATGGATTACTGCTGGAGGTATGTAGGGCATCGACTCCTTATTCTGAAAATGGCAATTAAAGGATTAAGCATTTAGGGGTGCCTGGGTGGCTCAGTCAGTTAAGCATCTGCCTTGGGCTCCGGTAACGACCCCGGGGGCCTGGGATCGAGCCCTAAGTCAGCCTCCCTGCTCAGCGGGGAGTCTGCTTCTCCCTCTGCCCCTCCCCCAGTGCATGCTCCCTCTCCTCCTCTCTCAAATAAATAAATAAAATCTTAAAAAAAGAAAGAATTAAGCATTTATCCGGTCTATTCAGATCAAATTATATACTAGGGTAACTAAATAGCCCCAGTTGATTAAATTTTGCTTTGCAGAAGAATTACAGTTAATACATTTAGAATGCAGGAGACATTTAGAAACTCAGCATTTGGCTATTTCTAGTTAAAACCAATGATTCAGGCAATCATGAAAGCATTACATGAAAGGTGGGTGTGGGTCTTTAAAATGAAAGGAGCAGCCGTTGCCGTGTGAATTCACTATCAATGGTAGAATCATTAGAAGCAAGACAATCGGATAGCATGTGGTCCCCTGAAATGATTCAATATGAAGTACACAGTACGGTTTATACCGGTATTCTCACCCCTGAAAGTTACAGCTAAGTTCTAGCTTGCAAGAAATATGAATGATAGAAGAAAAACAATACCATGAGGAGGCAGGCAAGACAAATCCAGAATGCATGACATTCTATAGGACAACTAAGTTTTTTCAACAAAGACAACGTGGGGGAGGGAGGGAGGAACAATGAAGTGCAGGATGTGAACCAACTATAGGGTGTGGACTCGTTTAGGCCCTGACTTGAACAAACCAACTGTAAAAACAGTTTTGAGCTACTTGGAGAAATGTCAGTATGGACTGAGTGTTGGAGGACACCAACATTAATTAATTACTAATTAAGTATTAACTTTGTTGGATGTGATGATAATGGCATTGTGACCATAGGAAAGAATGTCTATCTTCTTAAGAGATGTCTGTCTTCTTAAGAGATGTCTATTTAACCATGCAGGGGTGAAACAACCTGATGGCTAGATTTTCTTTAGAAGAGCTTCGCACACACAAAATATGGGAAGTGGGGATAGATGAAGCAAATATAAAAAAGGCTTGATAATTACTGGGCTTCGGTAACAGGCATCTGGGGGTTCATGACACAGTTCTTTATACTTTTGTGTATTTTTTGAAAATTTTCTAACAGTGTTTTTAAAGATTAAAAGAGAAATAGCTATCTTCGGAGACAGAATCTGAACAGAAGTTGAAAACATTTACTTGCATTACACTGTCATTTAAAAACAAATGTGGCACTATTTTAAGTAGACTTCTCAAATAAAATGGTCTTTACCCACCCACATTAGTTTTTGGTGTCTTTTGAGTGTACCACTGCGTATTTATTGCCAAAGAATTTCTACATTTTTGAAGGAAAAATTACCTGTTGTCAATAATCATTATACTGGAGGATGGAATCCCCAAAACATCACAGCTCTGCAAAAGTTCTTTCTTACGCACCTCCCCTTGATTGTAGTAATTTCCTGAAGATAACAAATACACAGTGGTAGATTTCTTTAATAGTGGAAATCTATCAGTTTACTCATTCTTTTTTTTAAAGATTTTATTTATTTATTTATTTATTTATCTATTTATTTATTTGACAGAGAGAGACACAGTGAGAGAGGGAGCACAAGCAGGGGTAAGTGGGAGAGGGAGAAGCAGGCTCCCCGCCGAGCAGGGAGCCCGATGTGGGGCTCAATCCCAGCACCTTGGGATTACCACCTGAGCCGAAGGCAGTCCCTTAATGGACTGAGCCACCCAGGTGCCCCCAGTTTACTCATTCTTTTTTTTTTTTTAAGATTTTATTTATTTATTTGACAGAGAGAGAGACAGCACAAGTAGGCAGAACAGCAGGGAGAGGGAGAGGAAGAAGCATGCTCTCCGCTGAGCAGGGAGCCTGATGTGGGGCTCAATCCCAGGACCCCGGGATCATGAACTGAGCGGAAGGCAGCCGCTTAACCGACTGAGCCACCCAGGTGCCCCCAGTTTACTCATTCTTATCTCATCTTGTTCCCTAAGGGACTTAAGCCACCTGAAAAATTTGTGGTTATGATGAAAGGCTGAAGGAGATACTACTCACTCCTATGAGATGACTGACAGCAGCCCAGTCTTTAGAATCATCACCATTTAAGCCTTCCCATCTCTGTATCTGTCTGTCCCTCTGTCTGTCTGTCTGCATTTCCGTAGCATGCTACAGGCAGTATTGCATATTGCCAAGCCCACTGGCTTTGGAGGTAAGCAGATTTAAGATTGCCTCTTCTATAACTGCCCAGACAGAATAAGTCAGGTACCTGGGCACGCTATTAATTTGGGCTCTTTTAATTGATAGTCCTCAAAAATCTGTTGAACGTTTATTTAAAGAGGCTCTTACTCCTGCGTATTACAGGAAATTGTGTCCCTGGGGGATCTTGACCACATCGGTACCCCTGATAGCTTATATATCCTTTCTTTTCCCAACACGTATATTGTTTCCTAAGAACGGTTCTGCTAAGTACTGCTTCTCTGTATCCTACAAATAATATACGGTGAAGATTTAGTACCACTTAAGCTGCACTTATGAGCAATTGTCTAGCTAATGCACCCCTTAATTCAACTCTCCAGCAGATAATTGCATGTGTAATGTGTGCTAGTTACTTAACTTTCCCGAGCCACAGGTCTTCCACCGGTAAAGTGAACATGATGACCATCTCCTATAGCTTTCCTGAGGATTACATGAGGCAATACATATCTACCCAGTTCAGTACGCAGTGTTTTCTCTTTCCTCGACTTCTTTAGCTTTACCTTCCCCCTCCTCTGCTTCATTTCTTCCTGAATTACAATCCATTTTCATTGTCTTCACCAAATGGCAACCCCTCTGGGAAGTCTCCCATTTCTCCCGGCAAGGAATCATTTCCAGTATTCTGCTCAGATGTATGAACGTTTCTCCATGATCAGATTATGAATTCCTAAATGTCATTGACCTTAAAAGTCACAGCCTCCTTCAACTTTGTATCATGCTGGTGTCCAGCACACTTCACGTACTCATGAAGCACTGAACCAAGAGCAGCTTCCTTTACTGGCCAGATAACCTAGAGAAAAACAGTTCTGCAAGACCTTTCAACTTTGGCAGGAGTTACTCTAGTGCTAGTTGTGAACTGTTTGAACCCAGAAAGGAGATAAGTCATTACATTGTATCCAACAAAGGAACTAACCCTAAAAAGACTCCAGATAATAGCTTAGTTTCGTATTGTTCTCATCACAATATTTTAGGTCCTTTTTTTTTTTTTTTTTTTAAGTTAGATGGAAGCTATAGTCAGTTTTATAATGGTCATTATATTTTGGGTTCCTCTCAAATCCATACACATACCCTCTCTTATTTCATCTCAAGGTTATTTGTTCTTTGGTGAAAAAGAGTCTAATGGACACTTCCTAAGTCCAGAGGCTGTGCACATCAGACTCTGATTATGATTCTGAGGAACTGCTTAGAATGGAGGCTAATGAGTTTATGGAGCTGGTTTTATGACTTTGTGTTTGAATTAAGGAACTTAAAATAGGTTAGGGAGTTGAAGTCAGAGATCATTTTAAAAATTTTCCCTAAGCTTGGTGAACATGTAAGAACTTGAACAGAATGTGTCTGAGATCCTTCAGCAGCCCTTAATGACACTCTAGAACTGTGTCCAACTAGGGTAGGTGTACTCTGGGATGCACAAGATTATCTGTTGGGGTGAGAAAAAGCTTTAGAGCTTTTCCTCTTAATTTGTATACCTTGTCCTTTATATATCAACGTTTGTTAATGTTTTATAATGTTCACACTAGTTCAATGGGCCATATACTTAATACAATTATAAATAAGTATATATATATATATACACACACACATATATACACATATAATGGGAGTATATGCTCAGAAGTTTTTACCAAGGGGCGCCTGGGTGGCTCAGCCGTTAGGCGTCTGCCTTCGGCTCAGGTCATGATCCCAGGGTCCTGGGATCGAGCCCTGCATCGGGCTCCCTGCTCAGCGGGGAAGCCTGCTTTTCCCTCTCCCACTCCCCCTGCTTGTGTTCCCTCTCTCATTGTGTCTCCATCTGTCAAATAAATAAATAAAATCTTAAAAAAAAAGTTTTTACCAATAGGAGGGGTGCCTGAGTGGCTCAGTCTTGACTCTTGATTTCGGCTCAGGTTGTGATCTCAGGGTTGTGACATCAAGCCCTGCCACGGGCTTCATGCTGGGTGTGAAGCATGCTTTTGGGATTCTCTCTCTACCCTCTCCCTCTGCCCCAACCCCCTTAAAAAAAAAACAAAAAACAAAAAACAAAACAGGGACCAGTGAAGTGGCCCAGAGATTAGTGACAGCAGGAGGTAACTACCAACCCTAGGATGGACAGATAAAAGGAGTAGGCAGTGTTACTAGAACCCAAAGGCTTTGGTTCCCCAAAGGAAGCTGAAACCAAAAAGAACTAGACTCTCTTCCATCAGTATGAACCCAGGTGGAGAAATCATGATTTAAAAATGAAACTAGAATTAAAAATTGGTCAAATGATGGGGCACCTGGGTGGCTCAGTCGGTTAAGTGGCTGCCTTTGGCTAAGGTCATGATCCCAGAATCCTGGGATCGAGCCCCGCATCGGGCTCTCTGCTCAGCAGGGAGCCTGCTTCTCCCTCTCCCTCTGCCTGCTCTGCCTACTTGTGCTCTCTCTCTCAAATAAATAAATAAATAAATAAAATCTTTAAAAAATTGGTCAAATTACTTGAACAGATATTTCACCAAAGACAGATGGGTAATAAGCACAGGAAAAGATGCTCAATATCATTAGTCATTAGGGAAATCAAGGCAAAACCACAATGAGGTATCATTTTACACCCACTAGGATGGCTATAGCAAAAACAAAAACAAAAAAAACAGGGGCACCTGCCTGGCTCAGTCGGTGGAGCGTGCAACTCTTGATCTCGGGGTTGTGAGTTCAAGCCCCAAGCCGCGTGTAGAGATTACTTAAAAATAAAATCTAGGGGCGCCTGGGCGGCTCAGTTGGTTGGGTGACTGCCTTCGGCTCAGGTCATGATCCCAGGGTCCTGGGATCGAGCCCTGCATCGGGCTCCCTGCTCGGCGGGAAGCCTGCTTCTCCCTCTCCCACTCCCCCTGCTTGTGTTCCTTCTCTCGCTGTCTCTGTCAATTAAATAAATGAAATCTTTAAAAAAATAAATAAAATCTAAAAACGAAACAAAAAGTCATCACCATGACATGGGCTGTAATGATATAAAAAAAAAATCACACAAAAAATTACAAGTGTATGAGGATGGGGAAATTGGAACCCTTGTGCATTGTTGGTGGGAACATAAAATGGTAAAGCTGCTGTGGAAAACAGTTTGGTTTGAGATTCCTCAAAAATTTGAACATAGAATTAACATATAACTCAGCAATTCTACTCCTATGTATATACTCAAAAACAAACTGAAAACAAGGACTCAAACAGATACTTGTATACCTGCGTTCTTAGCAGCATTATTCACAATAGCCAAAAAAAGGAAACAACCCAGGTGTCCAGATAAGCAAAATGTCATATATATATATATATATATATATATAATGGGGTATTAGTCAGTCTTAAAAAGGAATGAAATTTTGATATATACTACAACACGGATGAACTTTGAAAACATTATGCTAATTAAAGTAAGGCAGACATAAGGGGCACCTGGGTGGCTCAGTTGGTTAAGCGACTGCCTTCGGCTCAGGTCAAGATCCTGGAGTCCCAGGATCGAGCCCCATGTTGGGCTGCCTGCTCAGCAGAGAGTCTGCTCCTCCCTTCCCCCAGTTCGTGCTCTCTCTCTTGCTTACTCTCTCTCAAATAAATAAAATCTTAAAAGAAAAAGTAAGCCAGACATAAAAGGACAATTATTGCATGATTCTACTTATATGAAGTACCTAGGATAATCAAATTATTCTAGAGACAGAGAGTACGATAGTGGTAGCCAGGGGCTGGGAGAGGAAGAAATGGGGAGTTATTGCTTAATATGTGGAATTTTGCCTGGAAAGATGAAAAAGTTCTGGAAACAGAGAGTGGTGATGGTTACACAGTATTGTGAATGTACCTAATGCCACTCACTGAATACTTAAAAATGGCTAAAATGGTAAATTTTGTTATGTATATTTTTCCACAATAAAAAATTAGATTTGCACTGAGTAAAAATCTTTCAATTATTAGCTATCACCATAAAACAGAAATTCTGTCTTTTTTTTTTTTTTGAGATTTACTTATTTATTTTAGAGAGGAAGAGCATGAGTGGGAGGGGCAGAGGGAGAGGGAGAGGAAATCCCAAGCTGACTCTGCGCTGAACTCGGAGCCCGCCACGGAGTCTGATCTCGCAAGCCTGAGATCATCACCCTGAGATTAGGACCTGAGCTGAAACCAAGAGCACCAAGGTGCCCCAGAAATTATGACTTTAAAACTGGTAGAGGGGCGCCTGGCTGGCTCAGGCTGTGGAGCATGCAACTCTTGATC